GTTTCATTTGTAACATTATTATCCTGCCTTTCCACCAAGGAGCTTGAATAAAAATTGGGTCCTCCTCTCCCCTAAATTTTATCCATACCCAACCCCGTGAGCAGCCTTAGAGATCCCAATATCGAGGAACCTCCACGGCTGATCAGAAATTTCAGCCTAACTTTGATCAGTTCTAGTTTGGCTCTCTAACCCAAGGACAGCCAAAATTGTGCCCTTCAGAATTTGATGAACTATGTCTCCCATCATCCGAGATCACAGGCCATACTGACTGGGGCAGATGGGAGCTTGAATCTAACACCATCTGGAGGTTATCACATGAGCCACCCTTTTTTCTGATTGCTACACTGCACTGGCTCAAATCTGAAATCTCAATCTGAAATCAATTACACCCAACTGTACATGGGGAGCCAATAACAAAACTATCTGGCCTAGTCATAAGCAGCTGCTCTGCATTCTGAGACAACACCGCCCTAAGTACATGTGCTAAAAAACCTAGTTTGATATCCTATTGATGTTCATTGTCAAGACCAGGCATAATCTGAGCTAAGCAAGAAAGACAGGTAGAGAAAGATCAGGATGGCCCAAATTCTGCAACAAGAAAAGCGGGATGCTGAAACCTGCATACATTATTTAAATTTGCATGACTTTTCTAATTTTGCAGAATTCGTTCTGCAATCTTACTAAATTTGCATGGTTTATACCAGACTTCCTCAACCTCAGCCCTCCAGATGTTTTGAGACTACAATTCCCATCATCCCTGACCACTGGTCCTGCTAGCTAGAGATCATGGGAGTTGTAAGCCAAAAACATCTGGAGGGCCGAGGAAGCCTGATTTATACCGTTTCCACTGTGCCCAGGAGTGAAAGGCTGGAACAGGGGTCTACAGCCCCACCGCCGGAGATTATATTCATTAGAAGAACCCGGCTGGATCAAAGCAAAGGTCCAGTTACTTCATCATCCTTCTTTTCCCAGAAATCAAGTAAATGCTTCCAGGAAGCTCATAAACGGTGTATAATGACAACAGCCCTGAGATAAGTGTTTCCTTCTTAGCAACTGGCATTCAGGAACTGATTAAGGTGCTGATATTGCATCAGGCATTGCACACACACTTTCAAGGGGTTTTTCCTTAACAACAGATGGAAACTTCCTTTTTTAAATAACGTGAACTCTCAGGATGTTTCAAGCAATTCCATACTCCGCTGCTTTCCTGCGCTCCTAGAAAGCCATGCCATGCAAACAAGCCCAGACTGCTCTCTTCGTAAAAAAATGGCTTTCTATTAAAATCCACTTCGAAAGATTTTCTATTATTATTTTGCTTCCCCTTACAGCGGTACCCCGCAAGACGAACGCCTCGCAAGACGGAAAACCCGCTAGACGAAAGGGTTTTCCGTTTTGGAGGCGCTTCGCAAAACGAATTTCCCTATGGGCTTGCTTCGCAAGACGACAGCCCATAGGGAAATCTCAGGGACAGCGGGGAAGCGCAGCGCGTCTTCCCCACTGTCCTCGGACCCCCTCCGCAGCCTGGCGGGGGAGGGAACACCTGCCGCCGCCGCCCGGCCCGGAGCGGTGCTCCGAGCCGGGCGGGGGGAGGGAACACCTGCCGCCGCCGCCCGGCCGGGACGGTGCTCCGAGGCCGGGCGGGGGGAGGGAAGACCTCCCGCCTCTGCCCGGCCGGAACGGTGCTCCGAGCCGGGCGGTGGGAGGGAAGACCTCCCCGCCGCCCGGCTCGGACGGTGCTCCGAGCCGGGCGGGGGAGGGAAGACCTCCCGCCGCCGCCCGGCTCGGAACGGTGCTCCGAGCCGGGCGGGGGAGGGAGACCTCCCGCCGCCGCCCGGCTCGGAGCGGTGCTCCGAAGCCGGGCGGGGGGAGGGAAGACCTTCTGAAGGCGGGCGGGGGCGAAGTCTTTGCTCCCCTGCCTGCCTGTCCCGGAGGGCTTTTGAAGGCGGGGAGCAAAGACTTTCGCCCCGCCCGCCTTCAGAAGAGGTCCAGGACCTCTTCTGAAGGCTGGCGGGGGCAAAAGTCTTTGTCCCCCTGCCTGCCTTCCCAGGGGCTTTTAAATTGCCCCGGACAGCGGAGAAGTCCTCCGCTGTCCCGGGGTGATTTTAAAATGCCGCCCGCCAGCATTTTAAGATCGCCCGGACAGCGGAGAAGTCCTCCGCTGTCCCGGGTTTTAAAATGCTGGGGGTGGGAAGAAAAGCCCTTGCCCCCCCAGCCTTCAGAAGAGGTCCGGGGACAGACTGTCCCCGGACCTGAGTCTGAAGGCGGTTTCCCTAGGAACGCATTAATTGATTTTCAATGCATTCCTATGGGAAACCGTGCATCGCAAGACGAAAAACTCGCAAGACGAAGAGACTTGCGGAACGAATTAATTTCGTCTTGCGAGGCACCACTGTATCAGCTTTTAACCAAATCTAGATGTTTTCTGCTGACCTATTTGCAAAGCCGTCCAACCGCCTAATCCACAAATCCCACAGTTATGCAACCTTTGAGGGATTAGGCATTTTGTCATGAGAAAAGTCTGCGTTTCTTTAAGCTCAATGAAGTTCTGCGGTTTAAACTGAGTCCGCTGATTAAATTACATTCATAAAAAAAAAAACACCTCTGGCTCTTGCCGGTGCCAAGAGAACTCACTTAGATGTGTGTGATATAAGCTTAGGCCCAAAGTTAAAAACCACAAAATATTTGCACTGTGGTCTCTTTCTGGAAGAGAACAGGCAACAAATGTATTATGGTGAGAGGGATTCCAAAATGAAATCAATCTTGGATTTCTGGTTGTTGTTGTTTTTAAAGAATGTTGTGCCTCAGAAAATGAATATCTGTTCATGCTTTCTTTCCCTCTGCACACATAATTGCCACTATGTGAATGGAAGCACATTCCATGCGTTGCTCTGCTTTTGCTTGGACTACATCAGCGAGGCGGCAAAGGGGGTCTTGTCATCTAGGCAGCCCAGGACCTCCATACACACTGACCAGGCTTGCGCCCCGGAGAGGTCACTTTGGTTCTGCTAATGTTGCAAACACAACGCGAGAGTCAGCAGCCATATCAGGTGCTGTGATTCTCCGGCACCCCTGGAGGCGCACTCCATTGTCTCTCGAGACAGGCGGACGCCATTATCATGGGAGCCTCTATACTCCAGACACGAACCTGGAGGCTCTTTTGCCTCAAAACTGAGACCTTCACAGGCCACATCCATTTAAAGCACTACGATACCACTTTAAACAGCCATGGCTTCCCGCAAAAAATCCTGGAAACTGTAGTTTGTTCAAGGTGCTGATAGGTTTTAGGTGGCCCCTATCCCTGCCCCAGAGCTACAATTCCAGAATCGTTTAACAACCAATCCCTCTGCACAGAGAACTCTGGGAACTATAGCTCTGTGAGGGGGCCTTAACAAACTACCACTCCCAGAATTCTTTGGGGGAAGCCATGGCTGTTTAAAATGGTACCGTTCCCCCTTTAAATGTACACAGTGGGTGTATCCATAGTCATGCGCAGTCTTACTCCAAAATAAGGCTTGCACCACCAGGCGGCGAGGGGTTCATGAATATGGAACACATGCACTTTGTTTAAACTGGCACACTTGGGATCTGAATCCCAAAATCAGAGGTAACTAGAAGCAGCTGCAGTGAAGCCATTCTCTGTTAGGAACTGTTATTCATGTCTGTGGAACAGTGGTGGGGAACCTCAGGCCTGGGGGCCGCATGTGGCCTCAATCTGGCCCTTGGGACTCTCCTCAGACTCGGCTCTGCACCCTCCCTCAGGTTTTTTTTTCCCTGTCTGGGATGCGTCCTTGAACTGGGATGACGCCTCTTGGTTGCCTGGAAGGAGGTCAGAGTGGGGTGTGCGAAGAAACTAGCACCAAGGTAAAATCTGTGCTCATTGCTCCATCTACAGCCCTGCCCACCAATGGCACATGGCTCCCAGAAGGTTGCCAAGAAGGGTATGTGCCCCTTGGGGTAGAAATGGTTCTCTATTTCTCCTGCGGAGCAACCAAGTGGTGAAGGGAATTCCAGCGCTTCCAAAAAATGGCAGGGGGAAATGGCAGAAGAGGCAGGCATGCCAGCCAGCACCATGCAAGATAATAATAATAATAATTTATTTATACCCCACCCATCTGGCTGGGTTCTCCCAGCCACTCTGGGCAGCTCCCAATGGAATAATAACAATAGTAATAACAAAGCGATAAAACATCAAACATTAAAAACTTCCCTAAACAGGGCAGCCATCAGATGTCTTCTAAAAGTCAGATAGTTGTTTATTTCCTTGACATCTGATGGGAGGGCGTTCCACAGGACAGGAGCCACTACCAAGAAGGCCCTCTGCCTGGTTTTCTGGAGTGAGGGAACTGCCAGAAGGCACCCAGAGCTGGACCTCAGTGTCTGGGCTGAACAATGGTGGTGGAGACGCTCCTTAAGGTATAGTGATGTCATGCTGTCCCTGATGATGTCAGCAGTCCATTCCTGCATGGATACTGGCTAGCCAATCCTGCCTCCCATCGCCATTCCCTGTCAGTTTCTCACAGTAACCGAAGTTCACTCTCCTCCCTGCAGCTGATCCTGCTGCAGAATTGCCTTATCTGCTACCCACTGGGTGTTACATTAAAAGCTTGGTTTCTTACAAAACTCGGGGGGGGGTTCCTCTCCCTCTTGGCCTTACATGTGAAATGGTACAAAGATGTCAAGGACTGGCTGTATGCTGGGAGGTGGTGGCTGGGTTCTGATGAGTGGGCACTGGGGGAAGTGGGACTGGAGACTGACTTGGAAGAAGGGATCAGTGATCTGGGGGAGACTGTAACCGCCAGGAGACAAGAGTCAGAGGCAGGAGAAGACTGCAGGATAGGAGAGTGGAGAACAGGTGCAAAAGGAGAAGAAAGAGGTCGGACTGGAGTCCTGATCCACTGTCTCCCAGGACCAGAAGAGGACTAAAGTGGGAGGAACGGAAAGTGAAATGCAGGCATAGTCTTTGCCTGCTTTTAAAATTTTATTATTTTATTTTTATTTTTGTGTGCGCAGTTTGGGTGGGGAAGAAATATAAGCTGAGGTCGGAGACAGGGCATCTACCTCATCAGGTGCACACCTAGAAATACCTGCGAGACACAGGACTGATGGACATGCCTTCCCTTAACTTGTAAGTGTACTTTTGACAATAAAGTGTTAATTTCTCACTCTGGCATCTAATTCATTCCCAAAAGAGGAAGAATGAGGCAAATCAAAGTTGGCCGGGATGAAGGAGGAGAGTTGTGAGGTAAGGAAAAAGTTAATAGCAGGTCACAGCCTTTAGCCCATCAGGGCCTCTGTCATCACAACACACCATCTGCACTTTCCTGTGCTAAGCAGTTTGAGAGGAGGATAAAAGATACAGCAAAGAGTTTTTTGCATTCTCATCTTGTTAGAAGCTTGACATGAAGAAAAGCTTGAGTGTGTGAGAGAAATAAAGAAGCTTTTTTGAACTGGAATCGCTCCATAAGGGAAGCTGAGTGCCAACTCCTGGTGAAAGATAGCAATTCCAACTGAAAAGTGCTTTGGGAGGAGAAAAACGAGTCCTGGGGTTTGAAAGAAAACAGCAGTAACGGAAAGGATTGCAGACAAGAGGGGAAATTCAGCCTTGAATGAACCTGAACGTCAGCAAATCTTGAGCCTCAGCACAAAATCTGAAATGCATACCTGTGTGGCTGCATCAAAAACACAATGGTCTAAAATGTTTAGGATTCAGTTAGCTGTCTCACTCTGGGTACCTAAATTCTGAAGAGGCAACAGAAGATGAGTAATGGGACTCCGGCAGTTTCAAACTTTTACTTTCACTAAAATGCTGATGTTGCATGTAGCATCCACCGAAAATCTTCCCCCCACAAACCCCCTCCAAATATTCCACTGCAGTGCAGTTTCTGTAGGACCTGGGCAACGTCTAAGAATTATTTAGCAGCAGTATGTTTTAGGGCCATTTCACACAGCAGCCAACCCAAGTTTGCAACGTTGTGTTCTCAATATGCAGCTGGAGTCCATTCCGACTCCCCTGGCAATTGTATAAGCATGAGTTTACACACACAGGTTTGATGCATTTGCACCTTCCATTTGTCAATGTTAACTTTAAACAAAAAAACAGAAACACACTAAAAATATCTCATGCATCATGAAGCCCTTAAAGGTTCAGGGAGAGGGGGGGAGAGGTGTAGAAAATTTATTGAGGAAATCTCCCAACAGTCAACAGTGTAGTGCTGAAGGCTGCAGGGACTCTTGCACCCTTCACTCACCTATAGGTCACTGCTGACTGCCACAGTTACGGAAGGAAATGTGATCATTCCCTTAAATGGAGAAACACTTTTTAAATAGGCACAAGTGACTAATAGCATAGCACAACTTCCTTCTTCAACAGGATTACTAATTTTTGGGGGGGGGGGGAGTAGGAAATGCCACATCCTTCAAACTTTCACTTTCAGTTATATTACGTTTTCAAGCAGTTTGACAGCCTGGGAATGAAAGAAGGAAGTTCCTCTCTCTCTCTCTCTCTCTGTCTCTCTCTCGGTAAGCATACACTTGCCATTTAAAGAAAAGGACTTGCGCAAAGCGTGACACAATCTCCGTTATATGAACAATTACACAATAACGTGACCAAATCAATTATAGAAAAGACATGGATCTGAAAGCATTATGGTGGGTGGACTTCAGACTTTCAAAAAAGCAGCTGTAGATGTTCAAGGCAGAAAATTATGCGCCCCACACTGGAGAAATGCCATAGCTCAGTGGTGGAGCGTTGGCTTTGTGTGCTGAAGGTTACAGGTTCAATCCCCACCATCTCCAGTTAGAGCTGGGAGCGTTTCCTGTCTGAAACCCTAGAGGACCGCTGACCATCAGTGCAGAGAACACTGACCTAGCTGCATCAATAGCCTGACTCAGCAGAAGGCAGTTTTTTTGTTTAGTCGTTTAGTTGTGTCTGACTCTTCGTGACCCCATGGACCAGAGCACGCCACACACTCCTATATTCCACTGCCGTTGGTCAAACTCATGTTAGTTGCTTCGAGAACACTGTCCAAACATCTCGTCCTCTGTCGTCCCTTCTCCTTCTTTCCCAACATCAGGGTCTTTTCCAGGGAGACTTCTCTTCTCCTGAGGTAACCAAAGGATTGGAGCCTCAGCTTCAGGATCTGTCCTTCAAGTGAGCATTCAGGGCTGATTTCCTTCAGAATGGATAGGTTTGATCTTCTTGCAGTCCATGAGACTCTCAAGAGTCTCCTCCAGCACCATGGATTACTGACTTGTCATGGCGAAGGGACTTGAATAACTCAGAGAAGCGATGAGCTATGCTGTGCAGGGCCACCCAAGACAGACAGGTCATAGCGGAGAGTTTTGACTAAACGTGATCCACCTAGAGCAGGAAGAGGCAAGCCACTCCAGTATCCCTGCCAAGAAAACTCCATGGACAAAAACAAGAGGCAGTTTAATATACAGTGGTACCTCGAGTTAAGAACTTAATTTGTTCTGGAGGTCCGTTCTTAACCTGAAACTGTTCTTAACGTGAGGTACCACTTTAGCTAATGGGGCCTCCCGCTGCCACTGCCCTGCCGGAGCACGATTTCTGTTCTCATACTGAAGCAAAGTTCTTAACCCAAGGTACTATTTCTGGGATAGCAGAGTCTGTAACCTGGAGTGCCTGTAACCCAAGGTACCACTGTATAAGCATGAATGTTATATAGTGATGTACTGTGTGGGTCCTTTGAGACCAGAAGTAGCAACAAGTTTCCTATCTGCCTAGCTCTCCATTGGAGTACAAAGGCAGGAGATCTCATTGTTAATCTCACAAAACAGGGACATTTCACCAGCATTGTCTAAAACAGAGGTAGCCAAGGTTTTCCCTTCCATCTGCTGTTGGGTTAGAGCTGTCATCATCCATGGTAGCTGAGGCTGATGGTAGATGGATTATTCACCTGGTTGGGGTCGTGAGAACAGGATGCTGGACTAGGTGGACCAATGCCCTTTTATGTTTTAACTGAGTCCCGCAATATCTCGAGGCTGCCATTTTGGCTATTGTGGACCAGCCAGGCTCCTTGGAACAGCCGCTGTGTTTGTGAAGCTTCTGTCCCAGCCAGCTTACCCTCTGCACTGATCTTCCTCACCAAAGATTGATACCCTAATGCTTTGCAGAGCATCATCTTCTGCTCTCCAAGACAACACCAGCCAGAGCTGCATGAGGCACCCATCTATGAAACCGCTTGGGGCAAGTCCTGTCACAGGTGCCATTTCATTGAGGCAAGTGTGTTTTCCACTAGAGACACATGGCCTTGACTCACTGCGGTGCACATCCACTTGCAAACTGATGTGGCAGAGAAGGCAGCTGAGATGTCACTGTGACACTACAGGGTAATCTCTGTGCTGTAAGAACTAAGGTGTGAAATGGCAATTAGAGTTTGGCAAGGAAAAGGGGAGCAATACTTGTCGGTTGATGGTGCTAAGTTTTCAGCTGAAAGGTTCCAGTTTCTGGGCGAGACAAGGGCTGGCAAGGATGCCACCTGCTAGAGATTGACTCTAGGCAGACAACTAACCAGGAGAGACAAGAGCTCACAGCCAGGAGTTTAGAAAAATCAAGACTCCTTCCAAGGTACAGATGTCGATCCGCCTGATGTTTTGCTATCTATTTCAAGTCCTGCCAATAACTACAGTGCCTAAACAACTTGCAGTTTGGCAGAGATTATTAGGTAAATACATTCATAGAGGAACGAAAGCTTGGTTATGCATCAGAGTTCACAAGGTGGAAAACCCATTTTACACAGTACATTAAGTGTTCGGTGAGAAATATACAAGAAAGCTGCTCCTTCGATCTCCCTGCTGAAATACCACCCCATGTTCTGTGAAGCTGGAGTTATGATGGCCCGGGAAGGCTGGGAACAAGCAGGTCTATATAGACTCAGGGTTTTTTAATGTACTGTGATGTATGGGACATTCTGAGATTCCGTACTTGGCTAGATATGGAGAATTTCATTTCGTCTGCATTTTTTAAGCCATCTGACGCAATTCGCAACTCCCACGCTTATACACGGATCAGAACGTAGTAATTATCCTTCACACTTCTCTAAATTTTGCAATACAGTGGTACTTTGGTACTTGAACGGCTTGACACCCGAACAAATCGTCTCCCCAACGCCGCAAAGTGAATGTTCTGGTTTGCGAATGTTTTTTGGAAGCCAAACATCCAACGCTGCTTCCGCAGCTTCCGGCTGAGTGCAGGAAGCTCCTGCAGCCAATCAGAAGCTGCCCCTTGGTTTTCGAACCGTTTTGGGAGTCGAATGCACTCCCGGAACATATTAAGTTCGAGAACCAAGATACCTCTGTATAGTTCTTGGCTCAAGAAACACAACAAACTACAAACAAATTTGTGTATTTTAGGATAAAATAAGTTTACAAAGGTGTACATTAAGGTTAAATAGGTATTTTGTGATGAATTTCATGGTTAAATGCAAATTTACAATATTTTTTAAGAAAAATTGTAAAAGAATGTGTAAAAGATTGGGGGGGGGAGAATAATAAAAGCAAATTAATACAGAAATGGGACTGGAGAAACTTAAGAATAAACAAATGTGACATGGACATGGGCCAGAAACAGATCGATCTGTCCATCTGTACATGCGGACACATGAATGTCAGTGTCCCCTGCCTCTATGCAGATAGTAGCACATTTGGTTCCTTATTCCAGGTTTGCAACCTTTCCTACCTTTGCATTCTGCAGAGGTGGAAAGCCTTGGAGCAAAAGAGTGAAGCCAAATCTGGTTTAACATCTCAATATAAACCTAGCAACACAGGCGAAAAGGCCTCAGGATTCAAAACTTGAGAAACTCCAAGTCTGCCCCCCAAGTTGCCTACTCCCTACAGCTTTCCCAGTATCATTAAGACGAGGCATTTGAAAAATGATACGCTTTATGATACACATAGCCAAAAGCTTCACACCAGAGACTCTTGCAAAAAAACCCCAAAGATTTCTTTTTCCAATGCAGCGTTCTTCACCTGTGCTGCTACATGGTCTTGGAAATAAACCGAATAGGCATTACGCCAATATGATGCAATAGCGCAGAAGTTAGACCAGAGAGTTCTGGATTCATTTCCTATTCTAATTATGAGGTTCACTAGATGGCCTAGATCAACTCTCTAGTTGATCATTGTGGTGAGGATCATCGTTGTGAGGATTAAATGCAGTATTTAGTCAAGAGACTCAATTAACAACTTAATTTTTTGGACATTTAAAGCAGTGCCTCTGATTAAATCAGGTGTATTTTGTAAAACGAAGTATTTATTTTTCACATAAGGACTGCAGATGGCAAGTGTCATCTTAGAAAAGGGACTCTTCTATTAGATGGTACCTCCTACGATCAAAGTTTAAAATTTAGGCTCACTTTCGCCTCATGCAGGGGGAGGCCTGTTCTTCTCCAAGGTGAAGAAGGGCAGTTCTTCGTTTTGCAGAATTGTCTGGTTTAAAGATAAAAGAACCACAAGGAGGGAGAGCAGGGACCTTGAAGGTACCCTCAACTGGCAACACCCAGGCAGCAGACTGGGGCCACCTGCTCAAAGTCTTCCCCACTTACAGTGAGACGTGTTTAATTTAAAACTATAGTCATTATTTCTAAACGTGTGCCCGTAAATATGAAGTAGTATCTGTCAATGTTATGCAAATCGATGTCCTCTTTGGCTGGTGATGCAATCCTTTTTCGGTGGCGTCATTCCTCCAGCGCTGGCTATGTCTAAATGGCCACCCTGTTCTCCAGAACAACGTAGCACTCCTCCTTCCTTGGCCTGCCACTTCCGCCTGCCTTTTAGGTGAAGCTTTCCTGCCCTACCTGCTTCTTGACTCCCTTGTTTTGCTTGCGAGTAGGCCAAAGGTAAGCTATTGCTCAAGAAGACAGGTTTCCTCTGGTTCTAGCCACCTGAGGTCGTGGACTGCTGCTCTACCCATGACTCCCTTCCCCACACGGTTTTTTCTCTTCTTCTGCCACCACCATCAAGGACCATAAGAGAGCTTTGCAATGTGGCAGTGCCCACTCAACATCAACTTTGTTGGACTGGTCATGTTGTGGGGATGCCTGATTATCGTCTTCCAAAGCAACTCGTTGTTGTTGTTTAATCGTGTCCGACTCTTCGTGACCCCATGGACCAGAGCACGCCAGGCACTCCTGTCTTCCACTGCCTCCCGCAGTTTGGTCAAACTCATGCTGGTAGCTTCGAGAACACTGTCCAACCATCTCGTCCTCTGTCGTCCCCTTCTCCTTGTGCCCTCCATCTTTCCCAACATCAGGGTCTTTTCCAGGGACTCTTCTCAACTCATGAGGTGGCCAAAGTATTGGAGCCTCAGCTTCAGGATCTGTCCTTCCAGTGAGCACTCAGAGCTGATTTCCTTAAGAATGGATAAGTTTGATCTTCTTGCAGTCCATGGGCCTCTCAAGAGTCTCCTCCAGCACCATAATTCAAAAGCATCAATTATTTGGCGATCAGCCTTCTTTATGGTCCAGCTCTCACTTCCATACATCACTACTGGGAAAACCAGTAAATGGAAAGCGTAATGCCGGTGATCAACAATGAGGTTTAAAGACTGTCTCAAGGCAAATTTTTTAAAAATGTAATACAGTGGTACCTCGGGTTAAGTACTTAATTCATTCTGGAGGTCCGTACTTAACCTGAAACTGTTCTTAACCTGAAGCACCACTTTAGCTAATGGGGCCTCCTGCTGCCGCCGCACCGCCGGAGCCCGATTTCTGTTCTTATCCTGAAGCAAAGTTCTTAACCTGAAGCACTATTTCTGGGTTGGCGGAGTCTGTAACCTGAAGCGTATGTAACCTGAAGCGTATGTAACCTAAGGTACCACTGTATAAACACCAGCAACTGGGAAACACTAGCCTGCGAGCACTCCTGTTGGAGAACAGCCTTTACCAAAGGTGTCACGGGCTTTGAAGACACTTGAACTCAGGACACAAGGGAGAAACGTGCTAAGAGGAAGGCACGCTTGGCAAACCCTCACCGTGATCAACTCCCACCCAGAAACCTATGTTCCCACTGTGGAAGGATGTGTGGATCCAGAATTGGCCTCCACAGTCACTTACGGACTCATTGTTAAAACCGTGTTTATGGAAAACGATCTTACTCAGCTACGAGTGATTGCCAAAGAAGAAGAAGAGAAGAAGAACCATTTGAGGGCTTTGCAATGTGGCAGTGCCCACTCAGCTCCCATAGTAGGCATTATCGTGTTTTTTTAACTACTATTCAGAACAGATTGAAACGTAAAACGATTCAATCAAGTGCAATTATTTCCAGCCCGGAGAGAGGGAGAGAGAATATGCACTTGAGCTGAACTGCAAAACATTAAGAGTGTCTGGATTCCATTATTGTGCCACTGGCTCCTGTTTTCCAAGTGCTGCATCACTTGAGCTGATGGTCAACGCCCAGAAAGGAGGTTCTGTCACTGAATGGTGGAGTGCATACAAATCAATGGTTTATTTTTCAAAATCGGATTTTAAAAAAATTAAATCAGATTTTTAAAATTTAAATTGGATTTTTAAAATAAAATGTTTTTGGAGGAAAAATCTTTCTAAAGATAGTTTTCTGTTTAACTTACATTATAGTCCAAAGGCCATTCATCAGGAAATAAGGATTTGTTTTAAGTTTTTCATGTGTGCTAAAATTCAGTCTTAAGGGTTTGGGGTTTTTTGTTTCTTGTTTAAAAAGGTTAACCACATCAGTTAACAAACATGGATACATATGCTATAATATTGTTTAGTTAAATAAATAGTTTAAATTGTTATTAAGAAACTGATTATTTTTCTTCTTCCAACAAAGTATAGCAGAAAAGTTGTCCAAATATAAACAGTTAACTTATTAAACCTCACAATAATTTCATAATTATCTATGTATTTCTAATAGTATAACCAAAATCAGTAATTTTTGATATACCTGTAAAACCAACTCTGAAAATTTATTATTCCAAAAATGAAACCTTCCTCTGGTTGTAAATATTAATATTATACCAGCAAGACCTCATCCTAGACCACTCTAGCTGATTCTTTGTGAATGGTGCGTTAGAAGGCAGATGGAATGAAACAAAAAAATTCATTGACTGGTGTGGAGATACATTTGCAATTCCTGTTCCATACCTCTTGACAGAAACTCAGAAACTGTACTTAGCATCTATGAGATTTTCCACCAGAAAGCAGTGGAGAGAAAATTATTCCACAACTTGTGTCCTTAAGAACTTCCCTGCTGGACGAGAACAAAAGTCTATTAAATCTACTTTTCTGTTTCCAACAGTAAACAAAAAGATGCTTTGGGGAAACTCACAAACATCCTTCCTCTCTTCCCTTCCTATACTAGTTACTCAGAGGTAAGGTAAAGGTAAAGGGACCCCTGACCATTAGGTGCAGTCATGACCGACTCTGGGGTTGCGGTGCTCATCTCGCTTTATTGGCTGAGGGAGCCGGCGTACAGCTTCCGGGTCATGTTGCCAGCATGACTGAGCCACTTCTGGCGAACCAGAGCAGCGCACGGAAACACCGTTTACCTTCCCGCTGAAGCGGTACCTATTTATCTACTTGCACTTTGACATGCTTTCAAACTGCTAGGTTGGCAGGAGGTACATCATCCCTAATGCCATTTTACTACTTTGCTTAGTACCCAACAACACAGCTAGTCCTTGTGAAATACCTAACCTACGGTTACCATATTTTTTTCAAAGAATCCAGGGCGGGGACACTTTCTTTTCTTTTTTTGGAAAGAGGAAAAAGGGTTATTTTTAAAAAGTTATTTTTCAAAAAAAGAAGTAATATCTTCTCTTCTGTGGTCTCCTCTGTTGCGCGGCCTTCCTCTGTGCCCCAGCCTGCTCTCTTGGAGTACTAGCAGCCATGGAATAGGCTCGGGTCAGGCCTGGGCTCGGCCATGTGTCCTTGCCCTTCCGCTGCTCCCCTACCTCTCCTCCTTAGCAGCGGCGGCGGCAATGGCGTGGCAAGGTTGGGGCTCCCCTCTTTTTTCTCCTTCTTTCTTTCTCCTCTCCTCCTTCTCTCTGCATCGGCTCCGGGGTTTTCCAGGGTTGACGCGTAGGGCATCTCCAGTTCCCCCTTGGCAGTGGCGGCAGCAGCGGCAGTCTCAGCAGCCTGGAGCCAACCTGGTAGTGCAGCTGGCTCTGGCTAGTCTCAGGAGCTGCTCACTGCCGTGGCGCCCGCCATTTTGCCTCGCCAGAAGTCCTCATATGATGTGTCTTGTGCCGTTGAACCAATCACGCAACATTCATTCCCTACTAATAAATCTACAACACTTAAAATATAAATCCGGGGACATTAAATGAAATCCGGGGACGGATTTTGTCCAGGGACAGATTTGTAAATCCGGGGACTGTCCCTGGGAAATGGGGACGTCTGGTAACCATAACCTAACCCTTTTTCTCGTGCACAATCCCCACTTGGCTGAAAAATGTGGAAGATACCCAACAGGACCTATAGCTTGCACAGTTCTCATTCATTTCAATGTGGCTTGTGGAGGAGATTGTCCCAGTGGATAGTAACCTATGATTAAAAGGGGGGCATTTGGAAGACACTAAAATGTATTCATTTGGGAATGTGAGACACACACACATAAGCTAGTGAAGTAAATATCAGCACATATCAAGGAAGTGGGTTCTACAAAGTTAATTATACACTATGTTTTACCTTGGGCTGTCTCAGATTATGTGGAAGTGATAAATTATGAGTTTGAATTGATTATTTTACATTATGGAAATCAAGATTGGTAAACAGTAAGCAGCCTTCGTTCCTGGAATATTAGCTGGAATATTATTCTGGCTGGGCCACTGTGGGTCTTGGCCATGAAGTTCTATGTTCTACCTGTTAGGATTTGGCTCAAATCCCGAGGTTATAGACGAAGGAAGCTGTTTTGAACCTCAGCATAAAATGTTTGTTTCGGCTCCTGTAAGGCTGAGGTGCTACTGGCATGGTCAGATGAACACGGAGTTGCAGGAGCCAAAAGCCACCCAGTGGAAGAGTTTACAAAACAGTGGTACATTGAATTGGATTGCATAACTAGTTGGGCAGCTTACTAAGGAGAACAGGAGCCTGATAAGAAGTGGTATTAAAAAAATATTGTTCTATTACGTGGGTAGGCAAACTAAGGCCCGGGGGCTGGATTCGGCCCAATCGCCTTCTCAATCTGGCCCACGGACGGTCCGGGAATCAGCATGTTTTTACATGAGTAGAATGTGTGCTTTTATTTAAAATGCATCTCTGCGTTATTTGTGGGGCATAGGAATTCGTTCATTTCCCCCCAAAAAATATAGTCTGGCCCCCCACAAGGTCTGAACGACAGTGGACCGCCCCCTGCTGAAAAAGTTTGTTGACCCCTGTTCTATTAGTTTTCAATTACAGTCCAATAACAGCCTCATTATAAAAATACCAATTTATAATACTTTTATTAATACCAATTGTTCAAATACCGAATTATATAATTTAGACCAATCTAGCTCCCCACGTGCTAGATTTGATGGTTTGATTATTTTCTTTATTTCTGTGTTCCCCTTATTAATTTCAATTAAATTCCAATCATAATAATAATCCCTTATACAACAACTTCTATTTGTGTTGACACATTAAATGATTTAGAAAACTACAAGTGAGGAACTCAAACTAAAGTGGTAACTTGGGTTAAGAACTTAATTCATTCTGGAGGTCCGTTCATAACCTGAAACTGTTCTTAACCTGAGGTACCACTTTAGCTAATGGGGCCTCCCGCTGCCACCGCCACATGATTTGTGTTCTCATCCTGAAGCAAAGTTCTTAACCCGAGGTACTATTTCTGGATTTGCAGAGTCTGTAACCTGAAGCATCTGTAACCTGAGGTACCACTGTATATCCTTGCTCTTTCTGGGTTTGGCAATTATTCTGTTTGTGGTGTTTCTTCCTGTCCTTTAAGATGTTATGTCTTTCTTTCCCCTGGTTGTTGCTGTTATCTGTCATGCTGTAGGCGGAGCTGATATCCCACGGTTGTTCCAGAAATTCCTCCATCAATCCGTCCAGCAGTTCGTTGTTTTGCAACTTTAACGACAAATGCAAAAGTCACTCTGTCCCAGTAAAAAACCTGTTTTCACCATTTTTTCCTCTCAGCCTGAGAAGAAGAACCGTCTGTCAAACTGCAGATGACTCAATAAAGAACCTTATCAGTTCCTTGGCAGTTCACAGACTTCTTTCATCCTTCCTTCCAACTGAAGATTTACTTCCAATTAAATTCCAAGTCCTCTTAGCGTTATTCAGTTCACTTCGTAAATAATAAAGGATGGGGAAGAGTCAGCTGTAAGCTTCCATCATAAACCTTCTGCAAAATAGAGCTTCACACACAGTTCCGGTTGATGATATATACCATATTTATAATCCAATTTCTTCCATCCTTGCTTGTACAAATATAATTTGAACTAACATTCAGAGGAGGGTTGCCGAATCATAAATGCAGAGAAGAAAACTTTAAATAAAGAAACCGTAGGCTCCCCTCCCCCCTACTGTCTTTTGACCAAATGAAGTCTTATCTCAATTTCAAACCTTCGTGTCCTTGTAGTTGGTTTGTCCTGCAGTTTGTGATATCATCTCTTCTAGCACATGCCTGTAAAGGTAAAGGGACCCCTGACCGTTAGGTCCAGTCGCGGATGACTCTGAGGTTGCAGCGCTCATCTCGCTTTATT